CTCCAGCCAAATTGGACTGGAGGAAAATGGCTTCCTGACCCCAAAGTGGCGATCGGTGTGTCCCTGGGCGGGTAAGAAAGGGCCACGAGAACTAAGCACGGAGGCAACCCTTCCTGCCCTCCCTCTCGTGATCTGCCTAAGTTCACGGAATCCGCATTGCTGCCCGATGGCCATCGAGCCTCTGCTTAAAAACCTCCCAAGGAGGAGGGCCCACCACCTCTTGAGGAAGCCCGTTCCACCGAGGAACCCCTCTAGCTGTCAGGAAGTTCTTCCTGATGTTAAGCCGAAAACTCTTTTGATTTAATTTCAACCCGTTGGTAGCGGTCTGACCTTCTGGGGCCACAGAAAACGACTCTGTACTAGCTTCTCTCTGACAGCCCTTCAAGTACACCCCAAAATATGAGAACACCAAAAAGACGTCCAGAGTCGCTATGCAGAGGCAGGCAATGGCAGACCGCCTCCGTATATCTTTTGTCGTGGTCTGAATGGCCCCAGCTAGTCTGATCTCTTTAGACCTTGGAAGCCAAGCAAGGTCAGCCCTGGTCAGTGTTGGGGTGGGAGACCGCCAAGGAAGTCCAGGGTTGCTACGCAGAGGCAGGCAGTGGGCAAACCACCTCTACGTGATCTTTGCCCTGACCTGGATGTCTCATCAGATGCTGGAAGCTAAGCAGGGCGGGCCCTGGTTAGTACTTGGGTAGGAGACCACCAAGGAAGTCTGTTCTTCTCTCGCCTTGAAAACTCTACGGAGTTACCATAAAGCATCGATTTAATGTCGTTCTATATTATCTGATTGTGTTACTCAACGATGGTGTTGAATTTATAGTTGTGAGCCGCCATGACCCTGCCGACGGAAGGGCGGGAGATCAGTCGAAAATGATAAATAAATAAAACGTCGGATAAAGCATCGATTTAATGTCGTTCTATATGATCTGATTGTATTACTGAAAGATGGTGTTGAATTTATTGTTGTGAGCTGCCCTGACCCTGCCGACGGGAAGGGCGGGAGATCAATCGAAAATGATAAAACGTAGTTGGAGGTTTGATGGCCCTTTCCACCACCCCCACTGACAGTTGAGAGCCAGTTTGGTGTAGTGGTGAAGTGTGCGGACTCTAATCTGGGAGAACCGGGTTTGATTCCCCACTCCTCCACTTGCACCTGCTGATGTGACCTTGGGTCAGTCACAAGCTCTGGCACAGCTGTCCTTGAAAAAGAGCCGTTTCTGTCAAGAGCTCTCTCAGCCCCACCCGCCTCACAGGGTGTCTGTGGTGGGGAGGGGAAGGGAAAGGAGTTCGTGAGCCGCTCTGAGACACCTTTGGGTAGTGAAGGGCGGGGTACAAATCCAATCTCTTCTTCTCTTCTTCTACCCTTTCGCTCTTAACAAACCCATCAATCAAATGCACAGACAATTGAGAACTGCAAGACTGACTGCTTTACGAATGCAAGTATCCCTCTTCCTAATTGACACTGTGTTCCCACAGTAGGTCGGAGTCTTACGCTCGCTTGAAATGAGATCGTATCCGCCAGTAATGCCCCCGCACAAGCAGGGGGGAGAGAGAGAGAGAATATTGATTGCTTTACGCAGTGGCCAGATTGTTGTTGTTGTTTTTTTAAATAAAGCCGTTCTTTTCTTGGGGTCTGCTGGATGAAAAGGGTAGACACTTCAGCAAATTTAGCACCGGACACACGGTTATTATAATGGAGCTCTTGAGCTTTGTCTGTTTTTTAAATTGATGAAGATAGCTGATATCGTAGCGGGACTGCTCCAACTGTGCATGGAGATGGGGTAGCAGCTTCAGCACTTCGTGCGCCTGGACCTTTCTGTCATTCCCAACCCCTCTTTTTGGTGTATTCTCCTGAAGCTCACAGTATGGTCTTCCCACAACTGTAGCACTCTGCTGGCGCTAGGGAATTGCCTTCATTATTCTGTAATGTGACTGTTGTCTGGGGCTAAAGCACTACAAGAATCTGTGTTTCATCTTCGTGGCTTCCGTTCAAGCACACATGGGGGCCGCGCATGCACAGGCCAGCCCGCGCATGTGCGGTCCCCATGTGCACCTGCACAGAAGACCTCTTGATGAACACCAAGATACAGGTAAGTGCAACCATGTTTCCTCCCAAGCCGTTGAATATTGTGACTGACACTGGATTGCCTCTGGTTTTGAAAAAGAAAAGAAGAGAGAGAAGAGATTGAATTTATACCCCGCCCTTCACTACCCAAAGGTATCTCAGAGCGGCTCACAAACTCCTTTCCCTTCCTCTCCCCACAACAAGACACCCTGTGAGGCAGGTGGGGCTGAGAGAGTTCTTGACAGAAACTGCTCTTTTTCAAGAACAGCTCTTATCAGAACTATGGCTTGCCCAAGGTCATCCAGCCAGGTGCAAGTGGAGGAGTGGGGAATCAAACCCGGTTCTCCCAGATTAGAGTCCGCGCACTTAACCACTACACCAAACTGGCTCTCCTACACCAAACTGGAAGAGATTGGCTTTATACCCTCTCCTTCACTTGGAGTCTCAGAGCAGTTCACAGTCCCCCTTCCCTTTCCCTCCTCACAACAGACACCCTGTGAGGTAGGTGGGGCTGAGAGAGCTCTTTCAAGGACTGCTCTTGAGAGAACAGCTCTGAGAGAACTTGTGACTGATCCAAGGTCACCCAACCAGCTGCATATGGAGGAGTGGGGAATCAAACCCGGTTCTCCCAGATTAGAATCCACACTCCTAATCATGACACCAAACATCGCTCCCATGGCTTGCATGGGTGCTGTACCCAGTTATCTCTATTCATAACAGCTTTTCCCAGATCTCTTCTCAGACTGCGAGCATGACTCTAAGCCAGGGGGTCCCCAAACCTTTTTGAGCCTGCAGGCACCTTTGGAATTCTGACACAACATGGTGGGCACATCCACAGAATGGCCACCACAGGTTACCATAAGTCACATACTGAGTATCATTGTGGTGGCAGGTGCTGCAAAAGCAATGTTTTTTAAAAATCTGCATCGCCACTCAGATTTCCAATGGCCAGTCAAAAGCCCTCCTGGGCACAATCCCCGCCTATGTTCTAAAAACATTCAACGGGCTCCACAATGCCCCTGAGCTCTGAATTGGACATCCCTGCACCACGGGGTCGAGGCTGTGCTGCTGTGTTTAGGATGCAACCGAAATGCGTTTACCGAGCAGGACTTGTTAATCCTTCACGTTTTTATTGGCAGAAGAAAGAGAGCGAGTGTTTACAGTTGAAGATCTTGGTGCTTCGGAATGAGCTGGAGAGACAAAAGAAGGCTCTGGACCGAGAGGTGGCTTTACTGCAGAAGAAGCAGAGCGCGCTCTATGAGCAAGGTGAGCTCGGATGGCGATCGTCTCCCCATGCCAGTGATTGGCGAGGGTGGGGAATTTAGGAGCAGCCGAGTCCATTCCTAATCAGCAAGTTGTTCAGACAGCAAAGCAGAGCCAGAATCAGTGGCTCCGTGGGAAGAGCTCGAACCCCATTGGTTCCCTGTTGCTTTATCCTTACTGATTTGGTAGCCGTAGTACCACCTTTGGCCATCTGTAGTGGTGGCAGCATAGCACTAAAGAAGCAGGGGGGGGGAAGACTTGGTTTTTAATGCCCCACTTTTCTCTACTCTGCATAGTCTCAAAGTGGCTTAGGCTGCGATCACACATACTAAATAATGCATTTTCTGTCCCCTTTGAGTCCTCTTTCCAACTGGATTTTGCCAGCTCGCACAATAAAATCCAGTTGGCAAGAGCACTGAAAGTGGACTGAAAGTGTGTTACTTAGTGTGTGTGTGTGATCGCTGCCTTATGGTTACATTTCCTTTCCTCTCCCCATGACAGGCACCTTGTGAGGTAGGTGGGGCTGGGAGAGTTCTGAAAGAACTGTGATTGGCCCAAGGTCACCCAGCGGCACCCTTCATGTGGAAGAGAAGTAGGGAATCAGACCCGGTTCTCCAGATTAGAGTCCACTGCTCTTAACCAGTGCACCACGCTGGTTCTCAGCACAGAGCACCTCTGTAGAACAGCTCTTCCTTCTGGCAAGCCACAGAGGTACAGAAAGTTTCTGGTTGAATAAGAAGAAGAGATTGGATTTATACCCCGCCCTTCACTACCCAAAGGAGTCTCAGAGCAGCTTACAAACTCCTTTGCCTTCCTCTCCCCACAACAGACACCCTGTGAGGTAAAAGAAGAAGAAGAAGAGATTGGATTTATACCCCGCCCTTCACTACCCAAAGGAGCCTCAGAGCGGCTCACAAACTCCTTTCCCTTCCCCTCCCCACAACAGACACCCTGTGAGGTAAAAGAAGAAGGAGAAGAGATTGGATTTATACCCCACCCTTCACTATCCAAAGGAGTCTCAGAGCGGCTTACAAACTCCTTTGCCTTCCCCTCCCCACAACAGACACCCTGTGAGGTAAAAGAAGAAGAAGAGGAGATTGGATTTATACCCCACCCTTCACTACCCAAAGGTGTCTCAGAGCGGCTTAGAATCTCCTTTGCCTTCCCCTCCCCGCAACAGACACCCTTAGTATCTTCACATCAGTGCCTTAAGGTCTTACCCCAGGGTCATTTTGTGGAAAAAGAGGTGCAGGAGCTCATTAGCATAACTTATTAGCGTAACTTGTTTGCATATGTGTTGGGTTTGTGAGATATTTAAGAATTGTATTTAGCAGAGATAAGATAGCTTAGCAGTGCCAGAGTAAAATAATTCAGACTCAGAGTCCATGTATGATTAAAATAGAAAGTTTTTACTAAATTCTAGCATAGGGAAGGGTAACTGGGATGAAAATAACAACGGAGCTAAACGGCTACATCCTTACACTACAAAAGACAAGACTAGAAGAACGTTATGGCTTCTCTC